CCGCTCAAGCGCCCCTTCGTCCGAGACGCTTCCTATGTGCGGCCTGAGCCTCGCCACATGTTACGCCGGTGGCATTGTTACCAGCCAGCCTCCGTGGTAAACATCCAAGCATACAATCGGAACATTTCGTATTATTACAGTGTTTTTGGTGATGATTTTTTTCTGGAAATAAGTGGACATGGGCCCCAAGAAAGCTTCTAGTGCCATCCCTTACAGCAATATGAGTGGAGAATTACTATGGAGACTGAAGAAACAAAAAAAAAATAGAGTGGATCATTGATAAGTAGGAAATTGGAGAGTGCGTGTCTCCGAAGCTGGCCAAGGTTGTATAATAAACCCAATCAACCATCGCTACTCATTGGTGGTACAGTCTGCTGTGCTGCTGTAACACCATCAGCTGCTGCTGCATTGTCAGTGCTGCTGCTACTGTCCAGCTGCTGATGCACTGTTCCAGCTGCTGCTGCTCTGTCAGCTATGCTGCCTGTCAGCTGCTGCTGCATGTAGCTGCTTGCTGCTGTACCCCACCGTCAGTGCTCCTGTTGCTGTAGTACGTTGCTGCTGCTGTAAGCATCTTCTGCTGCTGCTGTAGCATAGTCTGCTGCTGCGGTAGCCATCGTCTGCTTCTGCTTGTAGCATCGTTCTGTTGCTGCTGCTAGCATCGTCTTGTTGCTGCTTGTACCACCGTCAGCTGCTGCTGCTGCTGTAGCATCGTCTGCTGCTGCTGCTGCTGTAGCATCATCTGCTGTGCTGTAAACATCATCTTTGCTGCTGTAGCATCGTTGCGGTGCTGTAGCATCGTCTGTTGCTGCTTGTAGCATCGTCTGTTGCTGCTGTACACACCGTCAGCTGTGCTGCTGTGCTGTAGCATCGTCTGCTGCTGCTGTAAACATCATCAGTTGATAGCTGTAGCATAGTCCTGCTGCTGCTGTTGCTTCGTCTGTTGCTGCTGTAGAATCGTCTGTTGCTGCTGTTCCACGTCAGCTGCTGACCTGCCTGCTGTAGCATCGTCTGCTGCTGCTGTAACATCGTCAGTTGCTGCTGTTAGATCGTCTGTATGCTGCTGTAGCATCGTCTGTTGCTTGCTGTACCCCGTCAGCTGCTGCTGCTGCTGTAGCACCGTTGTTGGTGTGGGCTATTGAGAATACAAGAAAACAATTAACCCCAGAGGATTTGCCCCGGATAACTCTCAAAAAAGTCATCCCGTGCGTCATCGAAATGGGACTGTCTAAACTTATTTCCATTGGGGTCCTTGATCTTGTCCTCCAGGATGCCCAACCCACACCAGTCGACTAAACCCAGTGTGAACAGGGAAAATGCCGGAAACTAGTGCTCATATTGGTGAATTTAGGAGCCAAGCAAGGGTTGGTTGAGAGATTTAAGAATAGTTAAGTGAAATACACAGTGTGAATAAGGCCTGTTCTGGAAGAAAATAACAAAACAGGACCTACAGTACTCAGGAGGAAAGGGCACTCCCAGGACACAGTGTCTAATAAAGTCATTGCTGCAGCTTCAATAAGGTAAGTGTCATTTATTTTCATTTAGTAGTGTAGTACATGCACAAAATATATATTGTGCATGTACTACTCTATATAGTGATGTATCCTTCTCTTTGTGTGTAGGAAAATGTTATTTCATGTGGGTAAAAATTCTTTTTTTTCATACTTTGGGTGTCTTGCACGGATTAATTTGAATTTCCATTATTTCTTATGGGGAAAATTCATTCGCATACCGTACATTTCGCATAAAGCCTGCCCTCTTGCACGGATTAGGTCGCCTATGGGGGGTCAAATGTATCATATATATATATAATATATATATATTATATATATATATATATATATATATATTTATTATTTAGTATAGGTTATATTTATTATATATATATATATATATATTATATATTTTATATAATATATCGGTAGTAGGTTGGTAGACAGCAACCCGCCCATGGAGGTACTACCGTCCTGCCAGTGAGTGTAAAACGATTAAAGCCTGTTATAGTTTTACAGATGGTATGATTGCATGGTGTCCTTTTTTTCTGTCTCATGAACATGCAAGATTTCAGTACGTCTTGCTACTTCTTACTTACAATTAGGTCACCACTACTCATTACAGGTTCAAGCACAATATTTTTACACCACCCCTCTTGGTTTTCTTCTATTTTCTTTCTAGTTCTTTTCTGGTTTCATTTCCCTCTTTATCTCATGGGATGTGGCACAGAATTCTTCCTCCGTCAGCATGCGTGTTGTTAAGAGGCAACTAAAATGCCGGGAGCAAGGGGCTAGTAACCGCTCTCCTGTATATATTACTCAATGTTAAAAGGAGAAAACTTTCGGTTTTTCTTTTGGGCCACCCCGCCTCGGGGGGATACGGCCGGGTTGTGTTGAAAGAAAGAAGATAATCTATATTTATATATATTTATATATATATATAATATATATATATATATATATATATATTTATATTATAAAAGATATATATAAGGTAGTAGGTTGGTAGACTGCAACCGCCACCCGGGAGGTACTACCGTCCTGCCAAAGTGAGTGTAAAACTGAAAGCCTGTAATTGTTTTACATGTTGGTAGGATTGCTGGTGTCTTTTTTCTGTCTCATGAACATGCAAGATTTCAGGTACGTCTTGATACTTCTACTTACATTAGGTCACACTACACCATACATGAGACAAGCACACATTATACCACCCCTCTGGGTTTTTTCTATTTTCTCTTCTAGTTCTTATTCTTGTTTATTTCCTCTTATTTCCATGGGGAAGTGGAACAGAATTCTTCCTCCGAAGCATGCGTTGTTGTAAGAGGCACTATAAAATGCGGGAGCAGGGGCTAGTAACCTTTCTGTATATATTACTAAATGTAAAAGGAGAAAACTTTCGGTTTTTCCTTTTGGGCCACCCCGCCTCGGTGGGATACGGACGGTGTGTTGAAAGAAAGAATATATATATATATATGGGTAAGGGGCTTGGACTTCCAGCAAGCGTGCGTGAGCGTGTTAGATAGGAGTGAATGGAGACGAATGGTACTTGGGGACCTGACGATCTTTTGGAGTGTGAGCAGGGTAATATTTAGTGAAGGGATTCAGGGAAACGGGTTATTTTCATATAGTCGGACTTGAGTCCTGGAAATGGGAAGTACAATGCCTGCACTTTAAAGGAGGGGTTTGGGATATTGGAGGTTGGAGGGATATGTTGTGTATCTTATAAGTGGTATGCCTTCTAGACTGTTGTATCTGAGATCCTCTGCAAAACAGTGATAATGTGCGAGTGTGGTGAAAGTGTTGAATGATGATGAAAGTATTTTCTTTTGGGATTTTCTTTTTTTTTTGGGGTCACCCTGCCTCGGTGGGAGACGGCCGACTTGTTGAAAAAAAAAAAAAAAAAAACATTATATATATATATATATATATACATTTTTTTTTTTTTTTTTCAACAAGTCGGCCGTCTCCCACCGAGGCAGGGTGACCCAAAAAAAAGAAAGAAAATCCCCACTTTCACCACACTCGCACATTATCACTGTTTTTGCAGAGGTGCTCAGAATACAACAGTCGAGAAGCATACACATATAAAGATACACAACATATCCCTCCAAACTGCCAATATCCCAAACCCCTCCTTTAAAGTGCAGGCATTGTACTTCCCATTTCCAGGACTCAAGTCCGACTATATGAAAATAACCCGTTTCCCTGAATCCCTTCACTAAATATTACCCTGCTCACACTCCAACAGATCGTCAGGTCCCAAGTATCATTCGCCTCCATTCACTCCCATCTAATATGCTCATGCACGCTTGCTGGAAGTCCAAGCCCCTAGCCCAAAAAACCTCCTTTACCCCCTCTTTTTCCAACCCTTTCGAGGACGACCCCTACCCCTCCTTCCTTCCCCTATAGATTTTTTATGCTTTCCATGTCATTTACTTTTATCCATTCTCTCTAAATGACCATACCACCTCAACAACCCCTCTTCTGCCCTCTGACTAATGCTTTTATTAACTCCACACCTTCTCCAATTTCCACACTCCGAATTTTTCTGCATATTTACACCACACATTGCCCTTAGAAAAGGACATCTCCACTGCCTCCAACCGTCTCCTCGCTGCTGCATTACCACCAAGCTTCACATCCATATAAGAGTGTTGGTTTCTACTATACTTTTTCATACATTCCCCTTTTTTGCCCCCATAGATAACGTTTTTTGACTCCACATATACCTCAACGCACCACTCACCTTTTTTCCCTCATCAATTCTATGATTAACCTCCATCCTTCATAAATCCATCCGCCAACACGTCAACTCCCAAGTTCTGAAAACATTCACTTCTTCCATACCCCTTTCCTCCCCAATTTGATACCCCATTTTTCTTTTATCTAAATCTTTGATACTCTCATCACCTTACTCTTTTCATGTTCACTTTCAACTTTCTACCGTTACACACATTCTCAAACTCATCCACTAACCTTTGCAATTTTTCTTTAGAATCTCCCATAAGCACAGTATCATCAGCAAAAAGTAACTGTCAATTCCCATTTTGAATTTGATTCCCCATAATTTAATCCCACCCCTCTCCCGAACACCCTAGCATTTACTTCTTTTACAACCCCATCTATATACACACACACACACACACACACACACCTCTGGGTTTTCTGCTATTTTCTTTCCAGTTCTTGTTTATTTCCTCTTATCTCCATGGGGAAGTGGAACAGAATTCTTCCTCCGTAAGCCATGCGTGTTGTAAGAGGCGACTAAAATGCCGGGGGCAAGGGGCTAGTAACCCCTTCTCTTGTATAAATTATTAAATTTAAAAAGAGAAACTATAGTTTTTCTTTTGGGGCCACCCTGCCTTGGTGGGATACGGCCAGTTTGTTGAAAGAAAGAAAATAAAGAACTTCTGAGATAAAGTATAAAATAACAAAACCACAAGATACTAGTACTTCCTTTTACTAGAGATAGTGTATGGAAAAAAGGCAGCTTCTAATAATAAAGAATACCCTTTTGAACTGCAGATAATGGAGCCATGAAGAAAGCATCTTTCTGGTGCTGGCTCAGTCTCTTATTGTTGTTCAGTGCTTCTTGCAATTCTTGAACAGCTTTTTCATTCTCAGAATAATGTCTGCGATACATGCTTGATAACTCCCTATAAGAAAGAAATTTATGAATTAAATTAATCTAAAGACAAAATATATTAAAATTCATGTAATTTTACAGTTAATGGAAGCTTTTAGTGCAAGATTAATTTAAGCTTCTCAAACTATTTACAGAAATTTTATTGAACTATATCTTATACACCTACCATCCGACTTACGACCGAGTTCGGTTCCGAGAAACTGGTCGTAAGTCGAAATGGTCGTAAGTTGAACTTTACTACTGAGTATCAACAAAACATTTTTGTAATGACTTTATTTTATTGTTTTACTTTGGTATTTCATGTTTTACTTTACTTGTTATGCTGTTAGTACTGTATTTTACACTGTAAGGTTCAGGATAAACACTGTGAACAACACAAATAGTTGTTTATTTACCAGAAATTTGGCATAAAAAACACAGTCGTAAGTCGAGTGGTCGTAAGTCGAGCAGGTCGTAAGTCGGATGGCAGGTGTATTACTTTGTCTAATATCAAAAGCATTTTCAAAACATAAGAAACTATAGCAGACATAATATTCTGTCCAGATTCTTTGCCTAATGCCCTAATCTCTAAGCACCAGGAACAGATTATAGATTATATTAACTGCCAGTCTTTCCTCCTGCCCCCACCCTCCTATGACCACAAACTTCTGCCCCACATTCTAATACTGCATTTTTAAAACTATTCCAGCCCTCTTCAACCCCCCACTACTCATCTTTGCACTAGCCCACCTTTCTGCCAATAGTCGCTTATATCTCGCCCGAACTTCCTCCTCCCTTAGTTTATACACTTTCACCTTCCTCTTTTCCCGTCTACCTCTTACTCTAACTGTAGCTACAGCTAAATAATTTTTTTTTTTTTTTCAACAAGTCGGCCGTCTCCCACCGAGGCAGGGTGACCCAAAAAAAAAGAAAGAAAATCCCCAAAAAGAAAATACTTTCATCATCATTCAACACTTTCACCACCACCAGGAGGCCTGGTCACAGACCGGGCCGCGGGGGCGTTGACCCCCGGAACTCTCTCCAGGTAAACTCCAGGTAAACACTCGCAAATTATCACTGTTTTTGCAGAGGTGCTCAGAATACAACAGTTTAGAAGCATACACATATAAAGATACACAACATATCCCTCCAAACTGCCAGTATCCCAAGCCCCTCCTTTAAAGTGCAGGCATTGTACTTCCAATTTCCAAATCTCAAGTCCGACTATATGAAAATAACCGGTTTCTCTGAATCCCTTCACTAAATATTACCCTGCTCACACTCCAACAGATCGTCAGGTCCCAAGTACCATTCGTCTCCATTCACTCCTATCTAACACGCTCACGCACACTTGCTGGAAGTCCAAGCCCCTCGCCCACAAAACCTCCTTTACCCCCTCTCTCCAACCCTTTCGAGGACGACCCCTACCCCGCCTTCCTTCCCCTATAGATTTATATGCTTTCCATGTCATTCTACTTTGATCCATTCTCTCTAAATGACCAAACCACCTCAACAACCCCTCTTCTGCCCTCTGACTAATACTTTTATTAACTCCACACCTTTTCCTAATTTCCACACTCCGAATTTTCTGCATAATATTTACACAACACATTGCCCTTAAACGGGACATCTCCACTGCCTCCAACCGTCTCCTCGCTGCTGCACTTACCACCCAAGCTTCACAACCATATAAGAGTGTTGGTACTACTATACTTTCATACATTCCCTTCTTTGCCTCCATAGATAACGTGTTTTGACTCCACATATACCTCAACGCACCACTCACCTTTTTTCCCTCATCAATTCTATGATTAACCTCATCCTTCATAAATCCATCCGCCGACACGTCAACTCCCAAGTATCTGAAAACATTCACTTCTTCCATACTCCTCCTCCCCAATTTGATATCCAATTTTCTTTATCTAAATCATTTGACACCCTCATCACCTTACTCTTTTCTATGTTCACTTTCAACTTTCTACCTTTACACATATTCCCAAACTCATCCACTAACCTTTGCAATTTTTCTTTAGAATCTCCCATAAGCACAGTATCATCAGCAAAAAGTAACTGTGTCAATTCCCATTTTGAATTTGATTCCCCAAAATTTAATCCCACCCCTCTCCCGAACACCCTAGCATTTACTTTCTTTACAACCCCATCTATAAATATATTAAACAACCATGGTGACATTACACATCCCTGTCTAAGACCTACTTTTACTAAATAATGATACGATATATCAGTTGCCACTCTATAAACATGTACATCCTGGAGCCTACCCATCAACCTTTTATCCACCAATACATAATCTAACAAACTACTTTCATTACATGCTACATCATACCTTGTATATTTATTTATCTTCTTTTTCATAAAATATGTATTATTTATTACCAAATTTCTTTCTACACTTAGCTCAATTAAAGGCTCCCCATTTACATTTACCCCTGGCACCCCAAATTTACCTACTACTCCCTCCATAACATTTTTACCCACTTTAGCATTGAAATCCCAACCACCATTACTCTCACACTTGATTCAAAACTCCCCACGCATTCACTCAACTTTCCCAGAATCTCTCTCTCTCCTCTACACTTCTCTCTTCTCCAGGTGCATACACGCTTACTATAACCCACTTTTCACATCCAATCTTTATTTTACTCACATAATCCTTGAATTATACATTTGTAGTCCCTCTTTTCCTGCCATAGCTTATCCTTCAACATTATTGCTACTCCTTCTTTAGCTCTAACTCTATTTGAAACCCCTGACTTAATCCCATTTATTCCTCTCCATTGAAACTCTCCCACCCCTTCAGCTTTGTTTCACTTAAAGCCAGGACATCCAGTTTCTTCTCATTCATAACATCCACAATCATCTCTTTCTTATCATTTGCACAACATCCACGCACATTCAGACTTCCCACTTTGACAATTTTCTTCTTCTTATTTTTTTTAGTAATCTTTACAGGAAAAGGGGTTACTAGCCCATTGTTCCCGGCATTTTAGTTGACTTTTACAACACGCATGGCTTACGGAGGAAAGATTCTTATTCCACTTCCCCATGGATATAAAAGGAAAAGTAATAAGACCAAGAACTATTAAAATAAAATCAAAGAAAACTCAGATGAGTGTGTATAAATAAACGTGTACATGTATGTGTAGTGTGACCTAAGTGTAAGTATAAGCAGCAAGACATGCCTGTAATCTTGCATATTTATGAGACAGACAAAAGACACCAGCAATCCTACCATCATGTAAAACAATTACAGGCTTTCGTTTTACACTCACTTGGCAGGACAGTAGTACCTCCCTGGGTGGTTGCTGTCTACCAACCTACTACACTGATGTCATGTCATATTAACACTCCCCTTTTAAGAGGGAAGTGATACTGACCCAGAGTTTAGTGGCTTTGAAATGGATGTGGCCACAAGTGGTATAGGAAATATCAAAAACCTCGATAATAACCCATGTGCAACATTGTTTCATTTCTGATACCACTGGTAGTGTCATCCTGCCAGAATGTTCTATAACCTACGCCCTAAGTAAAGAGAAACGATTCTGGAACACATGTAATACGTATTCGGCAGGCTAGCCGGCTGGCTGGCTGACTGAGTTTGGCTGTCTCTCTGTCTGTATCTGTCTATCTGTCTTTATCTATATATCTCTGTCTGTCTATATCTCTGTCTGTATCTCTGTCTCTCACAGGTACACAAAGGTAGTTATTAAACATAGTGTCAATTACCTAGGATAACCTAAAAATTCCAGGCAAAGTGCTATACAGTGCTTGTAGATATAAGGCATAATAAGTATGACTGGCAAGTAATACGCATTTTCACTTGATCAGGAATCAGACGTGATGGCTGCATTGTATGTAATACCTGTTGGATTACGAGCCGCTCCCTGAGACAGAGACCAGCAGACGGAAAGAAAGACACACACAGGCAAACAGAAAGACAAATAAGCAGAGCTAGACAGATATACAGACAGATAGACATGTTTGTGTGTAACAGTGAAAACAAATAAAGCCAGGGTTCCCTGGAGCAGTGCATGTTCATCAAGAGTCACTCCACTGCTGTACTGTCAGCAGTTTAGTGACACTCGTCTTAACACCATGCTTCAAGGAGTTTCATGTATGTATACTCCAACATGTCTAAAACATTGCTGAAACCTATAAATACTTTCTATATATTTCTAGATAATAGTAAATGACTAAGGCAGGTGAAAATGTTCACCTGTCAGTGTGTTGGTGACTATTTGAGTACCATTTCAGTACCTAAAATGTATTAGTGTCAGAACAAAGTTTGGCTATGAAATCACAAGAACTACTATAAATTGTAATTATCAGAACATAAAAATTATATAAATTAAAATAAAAACGAGAAAAAAAGGTATATCAGCAACACTTCTGCAAGCAGCAGGACTCAATGTTGCGATCAGGTGAGCATCCAGCGCCAACTTCGCGGTCTTATATCTCGGTAAGTACTGATCCTAAAAAAATTTTTTTTGGTCTTATTCACACAGAAAATTACCCTCTTTAATTTAAAAAACGAAACAATTTTTTTTTTTTCAAAGTATTCGGAGCGCTGGCAGTGAAACGGTTGGACAGTTTAAGGGTTAAAATTAAATAAATAAACCCACAAAGTATAGCTAAACTATATTGTTAATTTTTGTTGTTCATATAGTATAAATACTGAGACACCTTTGGAACCAATTACCTCGGATAACACACAAAATTATACACCCTTACCTAATTATACAGAACAGCATTATACAATACAGTACATTTTCATTCTACAGTACAGAGCAGTTCAAAAATCACAGAAAAATTATAAATTACAAGAAAGTTACATTATAAAATTCAATACAGTACATTCTTTCTATGGAACAGTACAGTGCAAAACCACAGCAAACTGATGAATCACCAGAAAGTTGGAACCCCTTTAAACTTATTTAATCAACTTAGCAAATGTCATTTGGCTACATGCAGGTAAACATGAAACAATGTTACTTAACCCTTTGACTGTCGCAACCCCCAATCCTGAGGTGTCTCCTGGTGTCGCAAAATTTAAAAAAAAAATTATTTTTCTTATGAAATGATAGAGAATCTTTTCCCGATTGTAATGACACCAAAAAAGCGAAATTTGATGGAAAACTGATGGAACTACGCTCTCGCGAAGTTAGAGAGCTCGGCGCTGTTTATAAATCGGCGATTTCACCCACTTTGAGCCCTATTTTCGGCTAATTCCATTGTTCCAGTCGCACAAGCTCATAGCTATTTCTTTAGAACTCCATTTTTTCTATCGATTGAGTACAAGAAACTGCCCATTTACCGATTTCAACTACCTAATAATGTGGTCAGAAATTTGCAATTTGGCCACTTTCACGAAAACTAAAAAATATGACAATTTCAAAATAAGGTCCAGAATGAACAATGCAGACATTCCTGGCTCTAAAATAACATTTTCTTTGTTCATCAGTCATGTCTCCAGGCCCCTCTGATATTACTCTTGCTTTCTATTTTGCATTTTTATTCAAACAAAAAATAGAAGATTTACTATTATGCAGACTACTGCAATACTGTAATAATTGTATAAATAACATCAACCCATTCATGACTGCATATTAGAATGGCTAGTTGGACATTTATTGGACAATGGCATCATTTGTTTACTTTTGAACATTGGCAAAAATCAAACATTTCCCTTACTTTGAGCTCCATTTCTAGGTTCTTTTTATAGTAAAATCAATCAAAATCACCTCTATTTCTATAATATGTTTTCCATTCTATTAAATGAGACCAAGAGAATGAGAATACAACCATAAATACTATAACGAAAATAGACCACAAAGTCAGCATTTTAATTAAAAAAAATGGTCGGAGTTTTTTTTTTCCCATTATGCATTGCATGCTCCAGGATTTTTTTTATATGGTGTACACTGACCACACAGACCCATTCTCTCACATGTGGGCCTACCAGCTTTCTCCTGCTTGATTTGAAGCCGCTAGAATTTATGAGTATATATACGTCAAACAAGGTACCTCGTAAGACGTATATATACGGCCGCGACAGTCAAAGGGTTAAAACAACACTTACTTAGCTTTGTCTCTAAGACTCCTCAAGACTTCCTGACGAGTCCTCTGCTTCGTGATAAAATTCTGATGATGAGCAAACTTTGATGCTTGCAGCAAAAATAATGTTTTCCGGTTAAACTTGGAATTGCGACTGTGAGATGGAAAATGAAGCAGGGTACAATCTGGAGCTGGTAAAAGATAAAAAATCAACATCATTCATCATTATCATCATTTCTCACTTTCATAGGCAAGGAAGTATTTGCCTAAAAGGATGGACAAAGTATTGCATTAAAAATGCTAATGGTAATATAGAAACAATAAATAAAATATAAAAATTAAATGCCTTAACATAAAAATAAAGATATTATTAAAGAGAAAACTCTTGAAATAAAATATTATGAATAAAATTTAAAATGTGTGATTACACATTCCAATTTACCTATTTGTGTTCAGGCTTCATGAACCATTCATAGGAAAAGTAAAGTGTTGATGTAATCTTTATAACAATATTAACAGAATTTTCTATTGCTTTTTGTGAAGCAACTCGGTTTACTTTCTCTTGCATATCTACACTCACTTTGCTGCCTACACTGGTCATTATACAGGCTTCATGCACCATCATGGCTGCCTGTCTGTGTACCATTTAGACTTCTCAACTACATATGGGCTTCAGTAAGGCTTTTGACAGGGTCCCACATCAGAGACTATTGAGGAAAATTAAAGCACATGGAATAGGAGGAGAAATTTTTTCCTGGATAGAGGCATGGTTGACAAATAGGCAGCAGAGAGTTTGCATAAATGGGGAGAAATCAGAGTGGGGAAGCGTCACGAGCGGTGTTCCACAGGGGTCAGTGTTGGGCCCCCTGCTGTTCACAATCTACATAAACGACATAGATGAGGGCATAAAGAGCGACATCGGCAAGTTTGCCGATGACACCAAAATAGGCCGTCGAATTCATTCTGACGAGGACATTCGAGCACTCCAGGAAGATTTGAATAGACTGATGCAGTGGTCGGAGAAGTGGCAGATGCAGTTTAATATAGACAAATGCAAAGTTCTAAATGTTGGACAGACAATAACCATGCCACATATAAACTAAATAATGTAGATCTTAATATTACGGATTGCGAAAAAGATTTAGGATTTTCTGGTTAGCAGTAATCTGAAACCAAGACAACAGTGCATAAGTGTTCGCAATAAAGCTAATAGAATCCTTGGCTTCATATCAAGAAGCATAAATAATAGGAGTCCTCAGGTTGTTCTTCAACTCTATACATCCTTGGTTAGGCCTCATTTAGATTATGCTGCACAGTTTTGGTCACCGTATTACAGAATGGTTTATAAATTCTCTGGAAAATGTACAAAGGAGGATGACAAAGATGATCCCATGTATCAGAAACCTTCCCTATGAGGATAGACTAAGGGCCCTGAAAACTGCACTCTCTAGAAAGACGTAGAATTAGGGGGGATATGATTGAGGTTTATAAGTGGAAGACAGGAAAAAAATAAAGGGGATGTAAATAGTGTGCTGAAAATATCTAGCCTAGACAGGACTCGCAGCAATGGTTTTAAGTTGGAAAAATTCAGATTCAGGAGGGATATAGGAAAGTATTGGTTTGGTAATAGAGTTGTGGATGAGTGGAACAAACTCCCAAGTACCGTTATAGAGGCCAGAACGTTGTGTAGCTTTAAAAATAGGTTGGATAAATACATGAGTAGATGTGGGTGGGTGTGAGTTAGACCTGATAGCTTGTGCTAACAGGTCGGTTGCCGTGTTCCTCCCTTAAGTCAATGTGACCTGACCTGACTAGGTTGGGTGCATTGGCTTAAGCCGGTAGGGACTTGGACCTGCCTCGCATGGGCCAGTAGGCCTTCTGCAGTGTTCCTTCGTTCTTATGTTCTTATGTTCTTATAGAGAATATAACTCACATATGTGAAAGTTTAGCTTGCTCCTCAGTCACGGAGGACAATAATAGAAATTCTTTTTGAATGGCACATAGGCCATGTTTTAGCAGAAAGACCTGTTTGATGTGCTTAGCTGAATCAACAGTAGATTTAAGTGGAGACATGCAATCACAATAACAACTGTACAAGAGATCCTCTACTCACATCCACAATGATGTCTCTGTCTAACAATTCAGTTTTATAATCTTCCATTAGCACAAACTGAGTTTCCTGTCTCCAGTGCACTGCACTTTGAATATCCTTCAAAAGGGCTACAGTTACCTCCTTTCGGAGGCAGCTGAAGATTCCTAGGGTTCATGAAGATTCCCAGGATTCCTCATAGTGGTTCACAGAATCTCAACAAAAAGGTAAGTTTCTGAATATGAAAACTAGTTTTTGCGAAGGATTTTACAAATAGTATCCACCCTCTAGAACTGAGTATATACAAATTTGATTACAAAAAAACGGAAAAATAAGGTGAGGACCTGGGGTGGAAATTTCCAAGGTCACAACAATGACCAATCAAACTCAAAAAAAAATAATAGGTGGTAATGAGAGCATTCGAAAAAGAGATGCCAAACCAAAGATGACCCTTTTAAATCATTTCCTTTTAGGTGGAATATTGTGTACACTAACTTTCCCCGAGATGAAATTGCGATCTGGAGTGTACAGAGAACCTTTACTAAACTATAGGTTCTATCAAACACTCCCAACTATTTAGAATGTTGGAAACGCTTGGTTGTATTGTTGGGATGCAGGGAAGGGGTATTCATAATTACATTTGGAAAAATTTAGAAGGAATGGTCTTGAACCTGCCCAAAAGAAAAACATTCCCACGAAAGTAAAAAACTGGGCAGGCGGAGCAAAATAAATGGTCCCCCCGGGTTTTTGTAGTTCCCGGGAATCGTAAAAATTTGCCAAAACAAGGGGGATTTTGATAAACATGGGGGCCCCTTTTCATAGGTTGCTGCGGTTGTAGTTTGTCCGGGATGGTACCCCCTGCGTGAGCCGGGGCGGCACCGTCGGCATTGTTTTCCGTGAGCGAAGGTCCCCTACGGCCAGCAAATATTCATAAATTTCCCTTTTTTTTAGTGCTTAATATAAATAAATACCTGGCTCCAAGAAAGCTCTTGCCAAGCCGTGGAAAAAAAGGTGAGAAAAACGATTGAATTTAAGAAAACCCCCAAATTTAAAAAATAGAAAGTGGGACAAGTGTGCGAAATGTCCAGGATGTATAAGAAAAACCCACACAAATTATTTCCATAGGGCCAAGAAAAGGAAATAAAGGATGCTGTTGTTGCAATGGGAGTAACTATGCTGAACAAAAAATGAGATCACCAGTTACTGGAAGAGTTGAGAAGTTATATTGGTGTGGTTAAATGAGAAAACAATTAGCAGGAGATACTCTTATGTATTCGATTATTTGTGAAATGGGCTAGGGCAGTTGCATGAAGACCTTGGTAAAGAAATTGCCTGCAAAAATAGTGTGGAAGTGAGTGGAATTTTAGGCCAGGCAAAGGGCTTTGGTTTAGAGATTTAAGAACCGTACTGGGCATTCACAGTGTGGTTAAGGAATTGGTGAGGGGCTGCCAGTTCGGGGACCACGAGGCGGCTGATATAATGTGCATGAATTCCAGTGAGTACAGAGAGGCTGAAGGACTGAAAATCCCGAAATCAAGTGTTCTATTGTGACGAAAACAGGCCTATTTTTGGAAGGAAAATGCCAAAGGAAGACCTTCATTACACAGTGGATAAAGGGCAATGGCCTGGTACACAGCCTAGAAAGACAGCTGTCGCTAATGTTCTGTGGCTAAATGCTTGTGGGGATTTCAAAAAGTGAAGCCATTACTTAGTGTACCATTATGGAAAATCCCAGAGTGTTTCAGGGAAAATAATTGTTATGAAGAGTAAAAACTGTGTGTGTTTTGGAAATTTAATAGTAAAGGCATTGGGTTCATGAGTGGAAATTTTCGCGAGGTGGTTCAATGAAGTGGTTTGGGCCTAGTGTGAAGGAGATCTCCGGGAAAAAAGAAAATGGATCTTCAAGTGCGTGCTGTAATGGGAACAATGCACCTGCTATCCTCCAAAATTGGATGACCTAATTTTTCGAGGGAGTTTTGGGGTTCATCACAGTAAAGTTTCTTGCACCCGAATTACCACTCCTCTCCTCAAACCCAGGACCAGCAGGTTTATGGCAAACTTTAAACAAAACTATACACAAAAGCAATGTTTACAGGTGCTTGACTGTGACCACAGGACACTCACTTGGACCCTAAGGGTATTTTGGAGAGAACAACTTTCAGCCATCCTCCACTGCATATCCCTTAGAGGTATGGCTTGGGAGGGAGTGACGTCCAGGACTTTTGGAACTCTGCACTGGAGGAAAACTGTGGGGCCAGATGTGACGACAAGAGGGATTCTGAAGGATTTTTTTGGACTGACCCTAAATTGAGGCCTATGTTCTGTTTGTAAAAAATCAATGTGCACTGGGGAGTTACCAATGGGGTTGGTTGTGAGTTTGGTGGATGTGACGAAGGAATTGGTGGAAGGAACCACAATGAAAGAGCTCACCACTGAGGAGCTGCAAAGAGCTTCAGCAGGAAGAGCAAAACACATAGCAGCTCAGTATTCTTGATGCAGGAAGGGAGGAGGATGGTAGAGATGGATAGAAGGTGCCCTTCTTCAGGATATTAAAGGATTTTTACTAGGTGGGGTAAGATGGTAAGCTTTATGGGTGATTCATCACCCTATCAGGGTGATGCAAGCCAGGTTGGCAACATGTACAGTGACAAAGGTCTTGGGGCAATTTTTAGGGAAGGGGTTAATTGTGTTTACCAGGATATACAGAAGCTCTATCCACTGTTTTTGTTGAGTTGGACTCCAGTGACTTCAAGTGGGTCCTAGAGGCATAAGAAAGCAGAGGAAGAGAAGAAAACCCGAAAAGGCAAATGGTACTGGGTGTTTATGGAAGGGGATTCCTGTCCAACAAACTATAAAACAATATCCACTCTCTCTCTCTCCAGGTTCTCCCATAACACTAAGAAGAATCCTCCAATAAAGGTTGGGTTATTGCTGTTAAATGTTTCATTCATCATTTTCCCATTGTATAGTTTATGTACTATGTATATTCATGTTAAAAATTTTTTTGTTTTAATATTCTGGGTGTCAGGAACGGGATTTATTGTATTTACATTATTTCTTATGGGGAAATATTGATTCGTAATGGTAAATTTGATTACAGTA